TCCATTCCCGTGCCCGCCGCCGGCTCGCCCGCCCCGCTGGCAGGAATGTAAAAAAAAAAAAAAAAACACAAAAAAACCCTAAACTGTCAGACTCATTCACTCTGACTAATTTCTAAAGAATAGAAGTAAAATTTAAAAAAAAAAAAAAAACCACAAAAAAACCCCAAAACGCTTGAGCGGAACTTTTATTTGGCCGTTAAGAACCTTTCCCGCAGCGGGGGGACCGAGAGATCCCATCAGCGCCGGGAGCGCGGATTGAATTACCCGGGAGGGGAGAGGGGGGAGGAAAAAGGGAGCTGCGAGCGCTGCTTCGCTTCTTTAATTTCATTTACCCGCAGCGCCTTCCCAGCAGGGGCTTCCCCTCTGCCCTCCCGCTCCCGCTGCAAAGGCGGCTCTGGAAAAGCCGCAGCGCGGGATGAGGTCGCTGCTCAGCATCCCGGGTCCGGGCTGGGTCCGGCCATCCCAGGGATGGGCTTCCCGCTCTTCCCGCCGTCGCCAAGAGGGATCTGGGGGGAGCAGTGGGGCAGGGAAGCAGCAGGGATGGGATGGGAGCCCAATGAGCTCTCCCAGCCCCGCGTTCCCTCTCTCCACCCATCGTTTTGCTGGAAGCAGGACCCCCGGGAGAGCTGCTGCCTTCCCCAGTCGTTGTGCTTTGCCCTGTTTGAGATCAGTTTTCCATGGAAGCCCAGCCCCTGTTTGGGGTTATTTGTGGCCCTGGCTCATGGAATCGTGGGATCAGGGAATCACGGGATGCTTTGGGTTGGAAAGGACCTGGAATACCACCTGTTTCCAACACCTTCCACCAGCCCAGGTTGCTCCAAGCCCTGTCCAGCCTCAGATCCCGGGATCTGCCGGGCTGGCAACTCCCTGGGGCCTCTGAAGGACCACCAGGAGCCCAAATCTGTCCCCCTGTGCAGGACACGCCAGGCCTCGGTCTCCCAGCAGGAAAATCAGGATGGAAGGAGCCTCCCTCTCCCTTAAATACTCCAGACAAGCTGACACAATTAAGGAGGGGCTGCAGGGGCTGATTTGATTCCACAGGGCTCTGGAAATCTGAAGTCTGACAGCCTGTGACAGGGAGGTGGCAGCTGGAGCCCGTGTCCTGCCTCCCTCCTGCACCCCTGCCAATGCAGAGCCCGGATTAAATCCATGGGATGGGGGGGATGCAGCACTGGGGGTTCTGCCTGGCTGCACACGGGGTTGGGGTGATGGGGGGGTGTCCCCACCCCTCCCCAGCCTGGCCCTAAAACAATCCAGATGGCTCCTGCCTGCAGCAAAGAGCTCAGTTCATCTGCAGTCACAGTCCTGGGGGGGTTCTATCTCTTTAGTATCCTAATGGATGCCCAGAGGATGTGGAGAGGGAAGTGGGAGCCCAGGGGAAGGTGGGAACAGGGAGAAGGTGGGATCCCAGGGGAAGGTGGGATCACAGGGGAAGGTGGGAACAGGGAGAAGATGGGATCCCAGGGGAAGGTGGGATCCCAGGGGAAGGTGGGAACAGGGAGAAGGTGGGATCCCAGGGGAAGGTGGGATCCCAGGGGAAGGTGGGAGCCCAGCCCCAGGAATCCCTCTGGTTCCCGAGGGCAGAGGGTTTCATCTCCCAGATGTTCCTGCCCTGGGAACACAAATCTGGCAGGAAAACCACGGCTCACACCACATCTCCAGGGGCTGGAAAAGCCGGCCCGTGGCCTGGTCACCTGTTCCAACCAGTGATGGCCACTCACCAGTCAGAAAACCAGAAAGAACAGGCCTTAAATTCCACCCTTTCCCAGGCACAAGGCCCCTCTCCGGTCATTCCCAGCACTGTGGCAGGACTGCAGCCCAGCTGGGATGGTCCCAGTGCTCCCTTCCACCCTGGAATCCCCCCAGCCCCCCCTTTTCCCAGCAGGTGGATGGTGCTGGAGGTGCTGCCCCTCCACATCACCCCCTTTTCCCCAGTCACCTCCCAGTGCTCCCAGTACCTCCCTCCCCTGCAGCCTCCCAGGCTCCCCAGGGAGCTGCTCATCCCCCCGGATCTCCCTGAGGATGAATTTCCCAAGCCATGACCCACACGGTTCCATCTGGAGCCTCCCACGGAAGGGCTGCTCTGGGAATTACGGCTCCACGCTGGGATCCTGCAGAGCATCCAAAGCTGGGGGATTGCAGGAGTGGGAGAAAACTGGAGCCAAACTCACAGATGGAGGAGCAGATAGTCTTTCCATTTCCACAGTTCTCACCTGGGCTGGAGCAGTTCCTAATTAACAGCATCGCCCCAATGACCACAATGAACCGAACACAAAAAAACAGGGAATGCACAGAAGGATCTTTGCTGGGCCCTGAGTTAGTGTTGGATCCATCGGGGTTTTTCCAGAGGAAAAACTGTGGATTTGTGGTTGATAAGCAACAAGGGAAGAGACACCCAATGGCGAGAAGTTGGGTTGGGATTTAGGCCCTCAAGGGGTGGGAAACCTCCAGTTCTTGTTGACATTTGTTTTAATTCCGTCTGGAAAATTTAACAGCAAGTTTGAAGTCAAA